TGTGGGGGTGTGGTGGGTTTTGGGAGTGGTTGATTTTTGGGGTTTTTTTGTTGGTGTTTTTTTTTTTTTTTTTTTTTTTTTGCTACAGGGCACATGCGCTCACCAGAAAGACAGAGAGACAGAGAGACCGAAAGTGAGAAATCACCCCCCAGGGGGATGGTCATGGCGCAGTCCCTTCTCCTCCATTCTCCTCTCAGGATCTTGGGCACACACGCACACGCGCCTGGTGTGAGATTAAGCCACCGGGTCCAGGACTCGAACTGTTGCTGACTACATGGGAGTCCAGTAACATAGCCATTACGTCAACTGCCGGTTCCCATGGAGGTCCTGTTTTCTCTACAGCTTCATCTTCGGAGACTGCCGTGGTAAGCAGACCATCAATAAGTAGTAGTTGAATAAGTGAGTGGCGCCCTGGGCCCTGTCCTGGGCATCATTTGCACTGCAGTGGGTGGCATGCGGGTGCGCCTGGCCACGGCCCTGTCCCCGTTTCCATCAAGAGCGTTCCCGCTGCCTCTAAGGACTGCTTGTCTTCCTCGTGGTTCTGCTGGGGCTATCCATCCCATGACCCTTCTCTCTGGCCACAGGGATGAGCTAGGGACAGGCATGGCCTGTCATAGAGGGAACATCATCTCCTACTCTCTCCTGTTTTGGAATTTTTCCTGACAAGGGAGGGTGTCCAGCGGCAAGACTGCCACTAACACCCAATGACCGCTGTGTGAGTTTAGTTGCTGGACTCAACTCAGACCGCGTGGAGCCCCAGCTCGCCCAGCTGTAGCTGTGACATTTAAGTCATCATTTAACCCCTGTGCTTCTGTCCCTCCGTCTTTAAAGTGGTAAATAGTAACCTGCTACGGTTGAGATGAGGAGTAAGTATCTGAAAGGGCCCAGAACGGCACCCTCTGGCCCTGGGTGACATCCTCCCAGGTGTCAGCTCTTGTCACTTCCTCAGAACACCAGAGCCCCTTTTCTGGGATTGTCTCAGAGACGCAGAGGTGGGCGGAGCTCAGACACTCCCTGCAGCCCCGGTACTGTGGGCTCCGTGTGTGTGCCGGGCACACGATGCCCATTTTTGTGGGACAGGGTGGGGACGCCTCTCTTCTTGGCTCCTCATCCTCACTCAGTGGGACGGGTACGTTTTTTTTTTTTGAGAGGTTTTTTCGCTATAGGGCACATGTACTCGCCAGACAGACAGAGACATATAGACAGAAAGCGAGAAATCACCCCCCAGGGGGGATGGTCACGCCGCAATCCCTTCTCCTCCATTCTCCTCTCGGGATCTTCGGCACGCACGCACATGCGCCCGGCGTGAGTTTTAAGCCACTGGGTCCGGGACGCGAACCGCAGTCGACTACGTGGGAGTCCAGCGACATAGCCATTACGCTAACTGCTGGTTCCCGGGACGGGGTTTTTAACATGAGGCATCCAGGCTGAGCCATGAAGATGGTCAATATCAACAAGAATGAGGGTGTGTGCGCTGACTGGAGGGACAGGGAGAGGGAAAGTGAGAAACGACCCTCCAGGGAGGATGGCCACACCGCAATCCCTTCTCCAGTCTCCTCCTGGGACCCTGGGGATATTCTGGGGTATCTCTCAATATGACAATAGTTCTGGAACTTGAACCATGGAATTAGCCATGTGAGACCCAGTGCCTTAGACACTACACCAGTTGCTGGATCCAGTTTTGGACTTAAAACAATTTAAAAAAAGAAAATTATTTATTTAATTCTATTTGTTATTATTGTTTAATTTGACCAGAAAGAGACAGAGAGAAAAAGGGAAAGTGAGAAAGCAAGCCACCAGGTCCAGGACTCGAACTATGGTTGACCATGTGGGAGTCCAGTGCCTTAATCACCATGCCATCTCCCAGCCCCAAAACAATTTTTTTAAGAGAGATTTTTGCTATAGGATGTGTAGGCTCACCAGAGAGACAGAGACAGAGAGTGAGAAATCACCCCCAGGGGGGAAGGCCACACTGCAATCCCTTCCCCTCCAGGCTCTCAGGATCTTGGGCACACATACACACACAACCAAATGAGTTTTAAGTTGCCAGGTCTGAGACTCCAACCTCGGTGCACTACATGGGAGTCCAGCAATGTAACCATTACGCCCTCTGCTGGTCCCTCACAATGTTTCCCCTAGATTCATGATAGAGTGCATGCTGTCACGTGAGGGAGGGAGTGGTGGGGAGAGGGTTTGGAGCCCCCCGCAGGGTCTAGTCACGCTGCGCTCCCTTTCCTCAGTCCTCCTGCCCATTGATCTGGGGCTCACACATACATCCCACACGTTTCAAGCCGACAAGGCCGGGGACTCGAACTGCTGTCATCATGTGGGACCCACCTTCTCCAGAGCAGTTCAGCACTGCTGTGTCATGAAGCTGACCTCCTGTGTGTACTTCGAGGGAGATGGAGGATGCGGTTAGGACTGGGCCAAACCAGGTCCTACCCATGGAGAAGTGGCAAGATGGTCAGGGCAAGGCAGAGGTGCAGCCAAGGTAAGGAGAGCGAGCAGGGAGGAGAGGTGTCCAGGCGTGCCTTCTAAGCAGCCTGGCCATGCACACCGAGACCGGAACCTCAGCGTTTGTTTCACCGGGTCCATGCCCTGCAGCGATTCTCAGTAACCTGGATTAGCTGTCATGGCAAGGCGCGTCATCTGCCTCCCTGAAATGCACGCTGACGACCAGATCCTACCTGGGCACAACGGCCCAGCCCCCGGAGCGGTGCTCGGCCTCGCAGCTCTGGCCTTCCGTGCAGCTAGGGATGGCCAGCGGGACATAGACTGGGGCTGCTGGCGAGGCTTCTGAGCTACACAGAAGGGAAGGGACACTTCCTCTCCCCCGCAGAGGTGACACAGGAAGCTCTGCCACCTGCCAGCCCTAGCAGGAGGGATGGCCATGAGCATTATGGAGACCCCGGCCTGGTCCACACTGCCTGGCTTTGTGAGGAAACCCTCTGCTGCTGGCCGTGTGCCGCTGTTGTTGAGAAATGTAGTCGGAGACATGGAGAAACAGACTTCAAACCATGTGGGGAAGTGGACCCCCTGTACTGAGTGCGGTACACACTTACACGGGTAAGCCCAAGCACCAGTGCCATGCGGAGGCCTGACAGGATAAGCCCCGGGGAATTACCCGACTCGACACTGTCCTGAGGGGAAGGGTGACCCTCACACTGGGGGCGGCTGGAGGTAGCACAGCTGGAGGTGGGGCCAGGTGGGGGATGCGGGCTGGCCCAGCAGCAGAACAGACAGCAGCAGCAGCAGCAGCAGGCCCAGGACTGGGGCTGGGATCAGCGGAGGCTGAGTGACCCTGAAGGGGAGGTGGGAGAGGGTTTGAGATGGGCCCAGGGCAGCCCCTGTTCCTCCCATCTGACCACTCCATCCTTGGAGGCACCTCAGGGGCACACCTGAGCTGCTGAATGGGCAGGCAGAGCTGGCCCCAGGGCTGCCTCCTCCGCAGGCCCAGCTCCCCTGACACGGGCACCAGGGCTTGCTGGAGTTCTGGCTCGGCAGGGCTGCAGGAGAGAGAGCAGGGAGGGACGTCACCACTAGGCTTCTTCTTTGACCCCTAGCTCCCTCCCAGTGCCTGGGGGTCCCATTACCTCTTGGGAGGGCTTCCTGGGCTGTCTCCAGGAGAAGGGTCTCCCTGAGAAATAGGGAGATCGACCTGGGGAACAAGGAGAACCTCTGAGGCAACGGGTCCAGGATTAGGAGAGGCCCTCGGGTCAGCTCTCTGGACACAAGTGGCCACACAGGGCAGTGAACACAGGAAAGTGTGAGCTTCTCTGAGACACGCCAGGTGGGTCCCAGGGTTGCTGGGTGCCGGCTGCGTCCCTGGCATGCCGCCATACCTCTCCATGCCTCACTGTCCTCATCTGCCAGACAGAGACGATGGAAGTCCCCCTCTGGTGAAGTTAACGCGGTGACTAAATAAGTGAACATGGCAAACACACAAACCAAAACAAACAACAACAAAGAAGGGCCAAGGAAGGAGGCTCAGCGGCGCCTGGTCCACAGTGAGCGCTCAGTAACGGCGAGCCATTCAATATCTGCAGCTCGGTTTCCATCGGACTCTGGAAGGACCCGAGGGCAGAGACCCCATTTTCCGCAGGTGCCTGTCCTCAAGCTGGGCCTAGTGCAGTGGGGTACTCTCCCAGTCCCATCGTCCTGCCTGTGCCAGACTGGCAGGCGCTTTAGGATGAAAGCCCCAAATATTCTTCCAGGGGCAGGCTCCACCCACTTCACCATCTAGTCCCCTGCGTCTCCGTGGAAGGGCCTCCTCTCTCCAGGCGCGGGCCTTCCCAGTCCCCACCCCTTTGCTCCATGGACGACAACGACAATTACAACATATAAATAAAGATGAGCATCTTGATCGCTCTCTTCACCTGCACCACCCACCGTGCTGGGCAGACCGAGGCCCTTCAGCACAAAGGACCGCTCGACCCGCCCTGGGACCTGGTAAACAGTACTGCCATGTCAGCCCAATGGAAGGGCACGCAGGTGGTGGGGAGGCGGTGGGCTTTGGGGCCAGGCTGCTCAGAGCCCAGTGTCCTTGGGGGCAGCCACCTTGGCCGGTGCAGACCCTGAGGAGTCCCTTGTGCCTGACAGTGATGACACACAGGTGCTCGGCTGCAGCCTGGCTCTTGCGTCTATCGGCTGAGGGCCTCGGCTCCTTACCAACGCTCACCAAGTTTCTTTCTCT